CCTGAAACACCCCCCCCCCCCCCCCGCCAACTCGGCGCCCAACTCAAGTTGCCCCTCCATACTTGTCCGCCTCTGCCGAGCACAAACATCTCGGCTCCGACAGAAACCACCTCGAGGTCGGCCACTTGCAAACTGCGACAACACAAACCGACCACCATGGCGCCATCGACCATCACCGTCGGCACGCGCAAGTCGCCCCTCGCCATGGCCCAAGCCGAGCTCGTCGTCGCCTCCCTCCAGTCCGTCTTCCCCTCGTCGTCATTCCCCATCCACGGCATGACCACCACCGGCGACCGCGACCAGAACACGGCCCTCTACAACTTTGGCGGCAAGGGCCTCTGGACCACCCAGCTCGAGGAGAAGCTCGTCGCCCGCGAGCTCGACATTGTCGTCCACTCCCTCAAGGACATGCCCACCACCCTGCCGTCCGACTGCACCCTCGGCGCCGTCACCAAGCGAGAAGACCCGCGCGACGTCCTCGTCCTGAAAAAGGCCCTGCGCGACGCAAACGGTTACAAGACCCTCGCCGACCTGCCCGACGGCAGCGTCATCGGCACCAGCAGCATCCGCCGCATCGCCCAGCTGGCGCGACGCTACCCGGCCCTCCGGTTCAAGGACGTGCGCGGCAACATCCAGACGAGGCTGAAGAAGCTCGACGAGGACCCGGAGCTGAGCGCCATCGTGCTGGCCGCCGCCGGGCTCCTGCGCATGGACCTCGGCGAGCACATCTCGCAGTACTTGGACGTGGACAATGGCGGCATCCTGCATGCCGTCGGGCAGGGGGCGCTGGGCGTGGAATGCCGCGCGGGCGACGAGCAGGTGCTGCGGGCCCTGAAGGAGATTGAGCACAGGGACACGCTGCTGGCGTGTCTGGCCGAGAGGAGTCTGATGAGGGAGCTCGAGGGCGGGTGCAGCGTGCCGATTGGCGTCGAGACCAAGTGGGCGGATGGCAAGTTGAGGCTCAGGGCGACGGTTGTTTCCGTCACGGGCAAGGAGGGCGTCGACGCCGACGTTTTGGAGACGGTCACGTCGGAGGAGGAGGCCACGGAGCTGGGGAAGAGGGTGGCTCAGGACCTGGTGAGTAGGGGGGCCGATAAGATTCTGGATGCTATCAACAAGGCTCGTCCCGAGGCAAAGTGATGGTGACAAAAGTGCCATGGCGTGACATGGCAAACAGGTCCCAAAAGCGGAAATAGTTTGCTAGCAGATTCGTCTCGCAAGCAATACATGAGTACGTTGCCAGAGATGCCGGCGTAATCGCTTAGCAGATGGCACAAAGACTCAATTGTATGATGCACAACACAACGTCGCAACGACAATGTCTGTTCATGCTTGTCAAATATCACCCAATGCTAGGTTGAACTGCGTCCAAATGTTAAATAAAAAAAAACAAGACAACAAATAAAAGATTCCATGGAATCCTGTTGATTTCCCCACGCATTTTATAATAGAGCAGAAAAACACACGACTCGTCTATGTATGCCCCTCTCCCAAAACATCATGTCCACGCTGCACCTCAACTCGGCGACACGTGGTGCTTTACTCCGACGTGAAAGTCTTGTAGGCCTCGGCATCCATCAGCTCATCAAACTCCTTGGCACCCTGCTCGTCGACCTCGACCTTGACGATCCAGCCGCCGCCTTTGCTATCGTCCTCGGGGACCTGGTTGATGGTGGAGGGCTTCTCCTCCAGCAGCACGTTGCCCTGGACGACCTTGCACTTGATGGGGGCGTTGATGTCGCTGGCCGACTTGACGGACTCGACGGCGCCAATGGCGTCACCGGCCTCGACAAAGTCGCCCGTGGTCTCGGGGAGCTCGACGTAGACAACGTCGCCGAGCTGGTCGGAGGCGTACTGGGAGATGCCAATGGTGGCGGATTTGCGGTCGGCCGAGAGGTCGACCCATTCGTGGTCCTTGGTGTACTTCTTGGCGAGGGCTGTGCGTGCGACATTGTCAGTAAAAGGATTCCCTGATTGACAAGTTCACGATACGGCGGAAAGGTGCTTTTTGGTGTTTCGTTTCTTCTCCTCCGGTTTTCTGTTCCTCCCCCCTGTTTGTGGTGTTGGAACCTACCCATGCGAGAAGTCGTAAAAGTGCGGACAGCAGCGCGGGGAGCAAAGCGCATAACCGCGGGTCGGGCGACAGCGCGCAAAGAGCAGGCAATTGAAGCCATTGTGTCGGTGTCGGTGTCAGGACGAGGGGAGAATGGGTGGGTGTGAATAACAAGGAGGAATTCGCCTTGTCCGACGATTGAAACTGCACACAGGCAGGGCTAGAACAAGAAAGCCTTTTTTTTTGGAGATCGGATGAGGAAGACGAAGTTTGAAGGACGTAGCCGACCTCCGGCATTGGCATGGGCGTCTGCGGCTCCGGGCTGTTGGAGCAGGTGAAGGATATTTCTTAGTCATCAATTTCTACTGAGTATTATTGCGCCTGGCGCACTAAATACCACCTACCTAGGTACCTGCTAGGATTGAGGTGTTACAGCTCTTCAGCGCTTCAAACTGGCCAGGCCGATGCAAGCCTTGGGCCATCTGAAGCCGTCATCTGGATCGGTGTGGGGAAGAGGCCAATCATGGCATTGGAAACATAATAGTTTGCTCTGGGTCTTATCCTCTTGGGGATGGAGGTTGCCGGCTGCGAGGGCTCTGTACGTAAAGAGAATTGGAGACGGGAGCCGTTTTCGAGACGAGGCATTCGGATCCAAGCGAATTGGCGGCATCGGACCGCGCTGCTCTGGTTTGCATCCATGGCGTGATAGCCGCGAAGGATTGGAGTAATGGAGGGGCCGGAGAAACAATTTCTCCTGCATGGTTCGTTCCCCCAAAGACTCCCCAAGGCCTACGAGGCCTTTCCATGTTGTTGGTGGTGTTTATATGTATTGTATCAGTCGACGTTCATGCGCATGACAACCCATTGTTTATCTGCCTTTTGAACCCAATGAATGGGCCGGCATCACAAAAATAAACAAATGCCCAACGATGAATGCTCGGCTCCCTTGGGCACTGCTGCAGTGCGCCGCGGCGCCGCAGCATGCTACACGCGCTACAGGCAACGATTGATGGTGCCCAGTGCCAGGTGCCGTGTCTTACAAGCTGCCACCAGCGCGTGTAATTCACGTCAAGGTCCCGTCACAGCCCCGGGCTCGCTCAAGCAAGGCCGCAGGGCGCACAACAGGAAACTGGCAGCAGCGGCAGCGGAACTCGAAGCACAATTTGTGGTCTGGCGTGCCGTCTGTGGCTTTTATCATCTCGAGCATCTGTTTTCCGGCCGTTTTCGCAATGGCGGGCCGCACATGCCCCAGGCTGGTGCCAGCGTTTAATGTTGGGCGTTTGCCTATTCTCACTGGCTGCTGCTGGCGCTCACTATTCCATCACTGCTCAGGCCTTGGCTCCCACTGATTCATGTCAACTGGTGCCACTGGCTCGCTCCCACTACCTAGCCAGCATCCAAAGCCCACATGCACCCGACTACGTCGCTCCAGATGTCCTGGCGTCCCTGGCGCAATGGCCAGTGCTCTGTCTGCTGTGCTGGTGACGTCTGGAGCACAGGCCAGTTGCCTTCTCGCACTTGATCCTGCCCATTCCTGTTCCTGTTCCTGTTCCTGACTGCGCCTGGTCTACTTGCCAGGCTGGTCTTGCTTGCACCGCCTTCGCAACGAGCTGACCTCTCTTGACTCCATTGTCGAAATTCAATTCCCATTCATCTCTCGTCCGAACCCCTCATCTTTATTGCCAACCCCCGGCCGCATCTCGAGCCACCGCCATCACATCCGGAAATAAACCCATCATCCGCCTTGTTTACCATCTTCGATCCTGCCCTCACCCCCAACCGAGCCATTGTCAAGCCTCACCCTTGCGCTTCGCCTTGCCCGCTGGGCGTTGCGGTCTTGTGTGGTCTTGTCGTTGGCTGTGTGGTGTTGACCCATCGATCTTCCCGCAGCAGCTGACATCCTGGCCACACCTTGAACCTTGATCCGTCGACCAGTTTGACTAGCAACTACTCCGTACGCCATTGTGTATTTG